TATCTATTTCTGTAGCCACCCAAGATTTTGAGGTTCTTACAGGTGTGGGCCCCTGTGCCATGAGTAGCTGTCCCACCTTGGCATGTGGCAAGTACGTGCCTGCCTGTTTACACACAGCATGCCATGGCACTTCATGTAGGCATTTAGTGGCTTGGACATTCACCCTTTTGATGAGCCTGGAAACATCATTACAGGAACTTAAATAAATTAGAAATAGAAGCTAAAAGTAAACAGTAAAAGAGCTGCAGCAGTCTTTTCTTTCTCCCTGCTACTATTTTAATCCTCCTGTGAAAATGTGGGTAAGTTGATCACTCCCTTGTAAAAATGTTTCCTTAAAACAGATAAACCTTTGAAGTTGGATCTTCTAAGAAGGCTTTGTTGTTGTATGGCATGTCTAATGGGTAGGTGCTTCTGTTATCAGGACAGTCTTCCATATCATATGACTGTTTTGATACACTGCTAATGTTATGTTTTGATATATTTCCTCTTCAGCATTTACCTGTGTGGAAACAGCTCTATTCTTTTTTCAGCAGAATTTTTATATGTTTCATAGGAAGATTTATTTGTACTTGTAGTGAATGGAAGGTTCTTTAAAAGCCTCGAATGAGCCGTTTAAAGCAAAGCACATGTGAGACAAAATTTGTAAGTTATATTAAAGCATCAGATTCAGTTTCAGTTCCCAGAAGCAAGGGCACCAAATTTTGGATGCCTTTATTTTTTTTGGTGAGGGGGCAGAGGGAGCTGTGGGTTTTCTTTTGATTCTTAACCTACCTTGTATGCTGCAACTTGGCAAAAGTCTGAGCCCCCTGACTCTTTATTTAGTGTTTATTCTGCTAAGGAGAAGTACAATTGCAAAAGGGGAGAAAAAAATGGAAGAGTTTGTTACTTTAACTGCTTGTGCATTTGTAATTATTACCTCTGGTAGCAGAAAGGGGTAAAATAAGGTTGTGTTTGGTACCTTAAATAATATTATCCTATAATTTTATTAGAATCAAGGAACGTATCAAATTCTCTACAAATAGAATTAACGAGTATTGAAGCTTTACATTTATTTTAGTGTCTAAAGAATCCCATATCCATTGCAAAGAGAAAGGAAGCGGCTGTGGGTACGTGGGGTGGTTTTGATGTTTTGCTGAAACCTCCATGCCAGTATCTCGTTTGCTGTATGTGGGAAAGAAGTTGGCAGAAGTTACGTGGGAAAACAGTGAAGGCAAGCTGAGATAGAAATAGCTTTTGAAGGTAGAAGGAGGGAGAAAGACAGTAGGTGGATATGGAACTCAATTTTGTTTGTAATGAAGGAGTGCAGTTGATTTTGCAGCTCTCTTCATGTCTCAGCATCAACTCTGACATATCCTTTTGCATCAGAACCGAGCAAAAAGATTTGATATCTGTCTCCTCTCAGATCAACGTGCTGTATCTTGATTGCATCTCTTCTGCTTCTCGTGCCATGTAGGGAACTCATAGTTACTTGTCAAAGAGACTTTGAAATGTAGCCAGGGAGGGCGTCAGGCCTCAAAACCAGAGTTTTGTTCCTGGAATTTGTTGTCTCCAGAAAAGAAAACTCAAACCCTTTCATTGGTGTGTGTGGAACGATTAGTAAAGCTGTGAACAAAAGAAATTTGTGTGCAAGATGATCATGCTGGCAACCAGCATTTACTACTCTCTTACATAGTTGTTTTATTTTGCATTTTAAGACTTAGAAAGAAAGAAAAAACACTTTTAAATATTAAACGGCCAGTAAGTAAGAAGGAACAACATGTTGGGGTTTTTATAAATGAATTCTGTTTGGGTTTATATACTTCGTGTGATTAGAAAAAGAAGTAAATTTTCCTATTAATTTATATATGCACCTTTAAAAATAAAAAAGGGATACCTAAGTTTTATACTCTGTGAGCACTGGGATTGAATCTCCGATGGTTTTAATATTATTTCAAATTCCAGTGTAATATAGTAATAAATATTTCTAATTTTATACGTATTTTCTCTGTAATATCGAGGTATTTGCAGTTTATAAAGTATTTAATAATATCAGGATCATTTGCTCTGCTCTGCTTATAGTCCTAGGAAGTACCTGACATAATAATTCATGTACATCTGTACTCCTGCATAATAGAGAAAAAATTGAGTTGTGCACATTTCAGAGATGTATAACACGTTAAGATAGTCCCAAGAAGAGGGGTAAATGATGGGGAACAAATACAGAGTGTAATTTCCTCATGCTATGACTAGTGTACAGTGGGTTATGCTCAGATGTTACCCAAGTAGTTTTTGTTGTGCTCTTACATATAGCAAGCTAAAATTTAATATTATTAGAATTCAAAATGCTGTGTGAAGAATACTGGATATGATTTCATTATTAGCTACAGGAAAAACTCCCTAGTATATAACTCTTTAGCTGGTTATAGATAAACAGACTTTATTGCAGGATAGAAGCATGCTTTTGTAGGGCAAGAATTTATATATTCAATACACTA